AAACGTTAAAATCTATTTTGGGAAAATTTATTATTTTTTTACTGGAAGCCACTAGTATAGTGTGTTTGTATTGCGTATCTTATGACATCCCCAATCGAGATACAAGCCGGTATTATGACTTCCGATAGTGTCACAGTGACCTCCGGAGATCACAAGAACTTGATGCGATTTTCGTAATCTTGTAATTGTAATTTTAGACCGGAGTCCATAAGGTACAATTAAATCAATGTGTGTAAATGTCGTAAAGATAACATAAAACAGACGTGTCTATGTGATATATGACTAGGATGAGAAATTTTGCACCTTTATGACTTCCTAATTTACACACCTTACACCTACGTATAATGTTATGAATTGATTTTAAAATAATTTTAATTTAAGATCGGAGTTCATAAGGCACAATTAAATCAATGTGTGTAAATGTTGCAAAAAATCATCTAACCAACGAGTCTGTGTGATATCTGACTAGTACCAGAAAGTTTACACCTTTAGGACTTCCTAATTTACACACCTTACACCTACGAATAATGTTATGAATTGATTTTAAAATATTTATATTTTAAGCCCGGAGTTCATAAGGCACAATTAAACCAATGTGTGTAAATGTCGTAAAGATAACATATAACAGGCGTGTCTATGTGATATATGACTAGGATGAGGAATTTTGCACCTTTAAGACTTCCTTCTTTACACACCTACGTAAAATGTTATGAATTGATTTTAAAATAATTGTAATTTAAGATCGGAGTTCATAAGGTAAAATCAAATCAATGTGTGTAAATATTGCAAACAAATCATCTAACCAACGAGTCTGTGTGATATCTGACTAGTACGAGAAAGTTTACACCTTTATGACTTCCTAATTTACACACCTTACACCTACGAATAATGTTATGAATTGATTTTAAAATATTTATATTTTAATCCCGGAGTTCATAAGGCACAATTAAACCAATGTGTGTAAATGTCGTAAAGATAACATAAAACAGGCGTACCTATGTGATATATGACTAGGATGAGGAATTTTGCACCTTTAAGGCTTCCTTCTTTACACACCTACGTATGATGTTATGAATTGATTTTAAAATAATTGTAATTTAAGATCGGAGTTCATAAGGTAAAATCAAATCAATGTGTGTAAATATTTTTGGGAAAATTTATTATTTTTTTACTGGAAGCCACTAGTATAGTGTGTTTGTATTGCGTATCTTATATTCTTATGACATCCCCAATCGAGATACAAGCCGGTATTATGACTTCCGATAGTGTCACAGTGACCTCCGGAGTTCACAAGAATTTGATGCGATTTTCGTAATCTTGTAATTGTAATTTTAGACCGGAGTCCATAAGGTACAATTAAATCAATGTGTGTAAATGTCGTAAAGATAACATAAAACAGACGTGTCTATGTGATATATGACTAGGATGAGAAATTTTGCACCTTTATGACTTCCTAATTTACACACCTTACACCTACGTATAATGTTATGAATTGATTTTAAAATAATTTTAATTTAAGATCGGAGTTCATAAGGCACAATTAAATCAATGTGTGTAAATGTTGCAAAAAATCATCTCACCAACGAGTCTGTGTGATATCTGACTAGTACCAGAAAGTTTACACCTTTAGGACTTCCTAATTTACACACCTTACACCTACGAATAATGTTATGAATTGATTTTAAAATAATTTTAATTTAAGATCTGAGTTCATAAGGCACAATCAAATCAATGTGTGTAAATATTGCAAAAAAATCATCTAACCAACGAGTCTGTGTGATATCTGACTAGGATGAGGAATTTTGCACCTTTATGACTTCCTTCTTTACACACATACGTATAATGTTATGAATTGATTTTAAAATAATTGTAATTTAAGATCGGAGTTCATAAGGCACAATTAAACCAATGTGTGTAAATGTCGTAAAGATAACATAAAACAGGCGTATCTATGTGATATATGACTAGGATGAAGAATTTTGCACCTTTAAGGCTTCCTTCTTTACACACCTACGTATGATGTTATGAATTGATTTTAAAATAATTTTAATTTAAGATCGGAGTTCATAAGGTAAAATCAAATCAATGTGTGTAAATATTTTTGGGAAAATTTATTATTTCTTTACTGGAAGCCACTAGTATAGTGTGTTTGTATTGCGTATCTTATGACATCCCCAATCGAGATACAAGCCGGTATTATGACTTCCGATAGTGTCACAGTGACCTCCGGAGATCACAAGAATTTGATGCGATTTTCGTAATCTTGTAATTGTAATTTTAGACCGGAGTCCATAAGGTACAATTAAATCAATGTGTGTAAATGTCGTAAAGATAACATAAAACAGACTTGTCTATGTGATATATGACTAGGATGAAAAATTTTGCACCTTTATGACTTCCTTCTTTACACACTTACGTATAATGCGTTATGAATTGATTTTCAAATAATTGTAATTTAAGATCGGAGTTCATAAGGTACAATCAAATCAATGTGTGTATATATTGCAAAAAAATCATCTAACCAACGAGTCTGTGTGATATCTGACTAGGATGAGGAATTTTGCACCTTTATGACTTCCTTCTTTACACACCTACGTATAATGTTATGAATTGATTTTAAAATAGTTATATTTTAAGCCCGGAGTTCATAAGGCAGAATCAAATCAATGTGTGTAAATATTGCAAACAAATCATCTAACCAACGAGTCTGTGTGATATCTGACTAGTACAAGAAAGCTTACACCTTTATGACTTCCTAATTTACACACCTTACACCTACGAATAATGTTATGAATTGATTTTAAAATATTTATATTTTAAGCCCGGAGTTCATAAGGCACAATTAAACCAATGTGTGTAAACTTAATTTTGAAATGTAATTTTCCTAATTGTCTACTTTCAGCGCTGAGTTTAAATAATATTTGAATATAATATAATTAATGAGGTTATCGTTTTATAGTAAAAACTAATTTTATGCACTTGTGAACTCCGAAGCCACAAGGGATAAGTGTAAATTGTCCGGAGTCCACGAGTTCTTGGAAGTAACAAATGTTATAAAATACTCGTACAAAAATTATTAAATAGTTAATCTTTCAATTAAATTTCATTATAACGAATTATTTCTAAGTATTTTGGTATTAGAAACACTTGTCTAAAACTACTTGTAAAGGTGGAATGAACAAGCGCCTTAAAATTCTTATGGAGTCCATTGAATACCTCATACCTGTATAGGTGTGTGTGTGTGTGTGTGTGTGTGTGTGTGTGTGTTTTTTTGTCTATGTGTACCTACACGTTTTATCGTGTAAAAAAATGCTTCAATCATCAACTTTGAAATTGGTTCTTTACAGAAAATTGGATCTAGTTAAAATTTGAAAATTGAAAATGTCCAGGTTCCTAGGTTAAACAAACTATGAAAAAAAACTGAAATTTTTACCTAAAATCATCAGTTTTTGACAACATTTAATTTCTTATTTTATTGTAATTCAAAATCGAATAACCATAACTAATTGAATTTTTCACCAAATGTTTTTAACATTCTATATTATAAAATGTATATAATATAATTTTATTATGTTATAATTTTTAAAGAATGTTGTGCTTTTTTGAGTCATTTATGGTTTATTATTACTTATGATTTCTTGTAAGTAATAATAAAAATAATTCTAAAACCAAAAAACTAAAAATATATAAGCAAAATTTTTTTTATATACATTTGAACAGTTAAAATTTGCATAAAATTAGATATTTAAATTTTAAACAATGAATAAAAATTGTAGTTATTTTTTTGGTAATTCAAAAATATTATTCATGTGGGTTTGTAAATTGTACGTATACTATTATATTTTACTATAGGTAAGCATTATTGCTCAATGATATTTTCAAAATATTTAGAATGATTTTAAGCCTATTTATACTGTTTAAGCCTTTAAAGTATAACGCCTACCATATTATTATTGATCGTAAAATAAATAATTGATGTATAATAATTAATAACTATAGGTAGGTACCTATTATTATAGGTGATATATTATTATATATAATTATATAAATATGAATATATCACACTGAAACATACTTAGTAAAGTAGGCTGACGAACAGTCTTCGCTCAGAGTCGTTTTTGTACCCAATGATTCATCATTAAATTCAAATTTAACATAATAATATATATTACAGTGACTTGCTCGATGATGAGGGACACTCATCGGTCATCACCTATTGTACAACAGAGCGGTTACCTACTTTTTGCATTTTTATTGTTATAAATGAATATTAAAATATTGTATATATTGCAACTGAGCAAAAATAAATTTAATTAATACTTATACTTTTATACACAGTAATTTAATAACGTTACACGGTAAGAGGGGGCCCAAAAATACTATAGGCTACTTACCTAAAATTTAGGCGTATGCGCACTCCCAAATTCTGTGTATATTTGTATAACAATATTATTATACCATAAACACACATTGTTATAATACGATATATATATATTTTTTGGTATTACGTCATGAGCACCTAGTTATAAGATTATTTTTCTCTTTTCCCTGTCCCTTTTCTCGCAGTAACAAATGAAATGTTTAGATCCACGCCGGATTTTCCCACTCTTCCATCTATCCCCACTCAATTTCCGTCGGGGTGTCCCCATCGAAATCTGGCGCGAGAACTACGGGAGGCACTTTGGTGTACAGCCGCCAGTGTAGGGTCACCGCCGGACCGAATATCACTAACGTCTCGCGACCATCAAACCGTAAACGATCCATCGACCGATCGATCGTCTTTTGCCAACTGTACGTCTGTAGTACGTATACACATAACATACAATTATTATTACCGTATTATAATATACACGATTTCAGACAATCGCCGTTTCTGGGTTTATATTATATCCTTCGCCACACCAGTGGACCTGATTTTATTGTATCCACGTCACACAACCTGAATCGTCCGAGGACAATAATCTCAAAGGCGATTACGTTCCGAGTGGACGGCCGCCATCATGGGGCTGCGGTAAGTAGACCAATATATTAAATTGTTACCATAGCTAAAATATTAAGAATTGATCTGCATGGTCAGCTGGCCAGGGTTGGAGATTATACATACCTAGCACTAGAAAATAATGAAATGTGTACTGACCACTGAGTTTAATAATAATTATATGATATAGGTATTAAATGCTCTTGAAAATTACAAAATGTCTAAGTTAAGTTTAATAATATTATACAGAGTTGAAATCTTGAAAGCGTTTGAAATATTATTTTTAGTCAAATAAAAATACAACAAAAAAAATTTGGAATTTTGAACGCTTGCTAGACCTAGAAAGCTCAAAGGGACACGATTTAGGCTAACGGTACAGAGTTTTCCACGTGTAAAATGACTCAGTAGATCATAAGCGTAAACCATTAGCCGTTAGTTTCTGCATTTTAAGTTAACATATACCTAAGGTAGTTTTATCTGCAGTTATCGAATACCATTGTGTTAACTTTAAAGTTTCAAATAACAAATTGGACGGAACAATTAAGTTTTTAATGTCTGGATTGGCAATCACATAATATAGGTTTATCGGTTATCCATTCAAATATTATACCACTGCGTTAAAAAAATATAAGTGAGTAAGGACTTTCCTGATCACAAAAAGAAAATGATCAAATGCAATTGTAGAACATGCAACGCATTTGAGATAATTTCTTCGTGAATTTGAGCTTTTTTGTTGTTTTTTAGGAATTATTTGGAAGTAGCTAGGAAATTCGAAATATTAAGTACCTATCCCTACATTTAAACCGTCAGTGATTTCATCAGTGCATCACTTTTGTAGCACATATTTTCTAACCAAAAGTACGTTCAATAAACACTGACCTAAGTCTTAATCGGTCGCTGATGCCACATGAGACATGACAGAACAATCCAATTATTCTGCACAATGCCACACCGTGTCTCATTTCTATAGTTGCACACTTAGAACGAATGTGTTTGATTTTTACCTTTAAATTGTTTTTTTCTCTTCAATTGAAAGTTTCACCATTGGGTGGCTTATTTTTTCAAATATACTCATGTTTTTTTTACTCTTAGCATATTAAATGTGATGGTCGTGTTAACTATTACAGATTGTATATTACTTATTCAAAATAAAAATTGTTTTATCTAAGATTCTTCCAAAATCTGAGCCTTACTAAGTAATTTATTAATGAGTTGTTGGAGAAATACACCTATATCTAATTTATACATATATTTTAAACTATAATGGTAGGAATAGGTTAGGCTACCTCTAATATTAAAAACTACATAATTTTTTAACAATTTATGTACCTATTTAAATCTCTTACCAATGCATATTGTTATGAATTCCCAACATCATCAAAGGAACGTTTGTTTAATCCACCATAAACTATGTAGAATTAACGAAATTTACCTTTATACGTCATATACTATAACATAATTTATGTAATTGTGACAACTAACTTTGTTGAACAAAATTACCATTTTGTTACATTTAAAACGTAACATATCTGTGATCTATTGCAACAAGATTTTATAGTTTTCAAATTAACGAACCTCCCTGCTTCTGATCGGAGGGATGTTTTTTTTACCAACTCTATGGTTTTTCATTCTATCACAGATCATATAAAAGTTTAGTATAATCTATGATTCTATACTCAGACGTTTTAAAGGATATTTTTATCATAAACGATAATATTAAAAGAATGACATCGCACTTTTTGTTTTATCTCTCTGACCCACCCGCCTCATAGCAAATTTACGTTTAGCAGAACCAACCCTGTTTATTATTATTACTTTTAATGTTAGAGTGGATTCACCTATACTCAAACTTTAAGTTGAGAACATTACTTGTGTCCCTACTTTGTCTATTTTATGATAAATACATTTTCATAGGCGTGTAAAGTATTACAGTTTAAAAATGCTTATAAATCGTATACAAATTGAAACATCGTAAACAATTCATTGTAGGGACACTGCAGGTATAATGTTCTTGGCTTAAAGTTTGATATTAGGCGAATTTACTCTATTGTTAAAAGTAACAACACTGTAGGGTTTGCTCTGCTGAACATACATTTTTCGTGTTGCTCGTAGATAGGAGAGAGAAAACAAATGCTGTCCTTTTAAGCATTCAGTAAGTCTAGTTATTGGTACAATCTAGTCTGTATTGATTTTATTTTTGTAAATGTTTTGATGGGTATGAAATACGAATATTATGAGATCTGTTTACGTGTGGCCATATATAAATATACCTAATATACAATACATATTATAATACAGAGACAATACCTATATAATATTATTGTTATTACGAGAGTGCACAATAATGAGGTGTTGTCGGAGTATGAAACAGGTACGATGCATATAATATGCATTCATAAAATAATAATTGGAAATCGATTATTCATCTCCCGCAAGGTGGTCGAAACGACGATATTATAATTGTTGCGGATCCGTCTGAGTTGCACAAGTGCGCGAGCTAGTCGTAATAATGAACACACGAATAATAAAATAATATTATCGTTTATCACATTATTATATTTTATTATATTATACTAGAATAAATGCAGTGCGATTTTAGAAAACTTCGTTAATATATAATATCCAATGTACAATCGCATCGGCATCACTAGGTATATTATGTATATAGTTGCCGGCAGAGAGTGAAATTTGGAACGTACCTATATAATAATAATATATGAAAACTAACACGCGAATTTCCAACGGTTCGTTTTCCACGTGCCAGGAGAAAAAACCTTTTTTTTTATTTTTCACGGCTGAATGACTGGAAGAAATGAATCTTTCGCGTGCGCACACACACACACACACACACACACACACACACACACACACACACACAAATACTTGGTTACGCTTGTGACGCGTGTTACCAATTATTTAGTATAAATATAAAATATTACGACAAAAGAAAATCAATGTACCTATATAACACATTTGTTGTGAATCGATACATAATAATATTTCATTTGAATGATACCTAATTATGTTGTATTTTTTGAACGTTTGTAAAACTGTTATATAACCGTCGGTGGTCTCAATAATATGATGTGGTCGTTTGAATATATTTAAATATTGTATTAATATGTAGATAAAAGCCATAAATATCCATTTATATGGAAAATAATCAAAAAACCACAGTAGTAATTATTTTTGTCCATAATTGATACCTAATATATAATATGGTAACTAATATTTTTAGGTTATTACATAATATTATATAAGTATTTAATTAGCATTGAAGCTTTTTGATGATAATGGGGCATGACTCTTAGGAATTACGTAGTCAGAGATTTTTGAAATTGTTTGTTATTTTATTTGTATAGGGTTTCAAAAATCGTGAAAAATTATTGTTACTCCAATTTTATTTCCGATTCACTGACAAGAATTTAAAGTAATTTTACATTTTGGGAGAGAGGCTGTAGCCTGTTGCCTTTCTAGACTTACAGCTATGGCTTATTGGCTTATGACCTACAGAATACGTAAATCATGACAGTTTATTTTGCGTATAAAAGAAAATTTTAACGTTAAAGAATTTAACTAATTAATTTTAACTAATTTTGGAATATTTTTGAGGTAGGTACGTTATTTTATTTTGTTTCATCGTCGGCAAATAATTTTTACTGTATTAAATCGTAAGGAATTTTGCAAGTAGATGTCAATACGGATGACTTGTGTGTTAATATAATACGACTTGAAATCAATACGATTTAATATATCTTATAATATTATATTATAATCGACCTAACTGCAGATAATCAACGGTTTCAGAATATTGGTATGTACCATTATTAAAAAGAAAGGTTTAATTTTGTTTTCTTACCTACCGATTTCCAAGTATTAGGTCCCTATCCTATAGGTCAGGGGTGGCAAATTATTCTGACGCAACGTGCCAAAAATTCCCATTTTTTTTTTAGCATGCCATTCAATCGTGTAAGATATTATAATATGTATAATATTATATTGCGTTCGGTGTGCTATCTACGTTTTTAATGAATCTACTAATCTAATATTTTCTGAAAGACGTCAACGATACTGAAAAACTTATTAACATTGTGATGATTTTTATTATCAAAAGGAAAAATAATAAATACATATAATATAAATATTTTAATTTTTTTGCCTGCACTAAAAATCGCGAGTCATGGATTTGCCATTCCTGATATAGAGGTATTATATACAGAACCTAGGTATAGTGTACACAGTGTTCACATTAGTATCTATTGATACCACAACGTCAATATTACTTTGTATTATGACATTGAAAAAAGTTTGCATAAAATCATTTGAAGGATTGATCAGCCAGGAGGATAACACATGCAGAGTGCAGACAATAAATTAACAATTGTTTCACAAAAAATGATTTGAATAACAATATTATATATTAACTGGAAGTTAATCATTTAAATGTAATTTCATTGAACGATTTATTATTTACGAGAATATGTTATTGTCATGGAAAAATTGTAAATAAAAACAATTATCATAATTATTATTAAATGCTAAAATAATATTATGTATTAGTATTTTTTATAGGATTTTATCACCTAATAAATTGCACCATATAAAAATACATTTAAGGGGATTGGAAACGGCGATTTTCTGTCTTTGTCTAACACAGGTGCAACATAGGATTATAGACGTGTTCTATTTCCAACGTACCGATTAATCTAGTGAAGCGATAAGAATTCTGAAAACAGATTTGAATTTGTCGTCAAGTCTTCTTGAGAACGAATTTCCTACATTTTTGATTTTTGGATTTAAACTTCTCCAAAAATTGAAATATGTAAATTTTTTAATTACTTTTTTTTATATACTGTTTTTATGATTTTGGGGGGATAATATCAAAGACAGAAAATCGCCGCTTCCAATCCCTTTAACGATAATATACGTACGAACTTATGGTTATTTGTGAAATTAAAATTAAACCCATTTATTATTACACTATCTATTGAATTAAAAGACAATATTGGCTTATCATCAATACTACCTCTAATCATAACCTTATTCCGGTTGTTTACAGGGTGTTCGTGCTGTGTTCGTTCGTCTGGTGTTTCGGACACGCCGCACAATACACGCCGATCGACGGTGTGGACGGCAACGATTGCGCAGTCGTGCTCGAAGGATCCAAACATTTCATTTACAACAGTGGAAAGGGTTCACCGTGAGTTCCAATACATAAGTAAAAAAATAAAATTTAAATGCCTCCACATGAGGTTTACCATATAGTCTTCGAATGTATCTCAAAAGTGAATTTCATTTCGGTTTTTAGTTTCTTGCACGCATCCTGCAAGTATTTGAGTTTTATCCTGGCATACACATCAAATGTTATGTCAGAATAAAAAATTAATTTAAAAAAAGAACTCAAACTGCAACAATATGTAACCTGTATAATTTAAAATTCATACACTTCTGCAATAAATATAATATAATATTCATTTTATTTTTCAATATGAGCCCCAATATAATGTGATAACAATTCAAATGTATACTCTATACAATATGTAATTGTTATAATTAATAAAAAAATACTCAATTCTTTAGTATTTACAAATTCAATGAAATACTATTATACTTATTGAAATCTATAAATTTTAAATACATTATAGATGTTTTAATTATAATCAATTTAATCATTTTTTAATCGTTTTTTTTTCGAACACTAATCATCGTATGTGACATATTAATACAAGTCGTGTTTTCCCGACAGGCACCGCTCGGCGGCTCACATGTGTATCACGTACGACACGGTCAACAGAGCTTTTCTAGACGTCCAAAACCGCCACAGTAAGTAAAATACACATGGAAGACCTTCTTGTTACGTCTGATTTGAATTTTGTTGACGAACTTTACAATAAAAATGACTTTAATTAAAAATATGTATTGTAATATAATAATATGTTGTAGCGCTGCTGGAACCCAACGACCAATGGGGCCCTGTGCACTTTGCTAGACTTGGAGAGTTGCTGCTGGACGTGTCACAAGTGCTCGCAAAAATGTAAATCTCAAAACGACCAACACAATATTATTAAATATATCAATTTTAAACTATATAATATAATAAATATATTAAATTATATTTTCGATATTATTAAACGTATCAATTTTATACTATACCCATACACTTGTAATATAATACAGCAGCGAATTCTCTTTTGTTTTTAACCGTTTCTAAATCGGTCGCAGGTACGATTTGAATGCCGACGACGTGAGCAAATTCTTACCTGCCATCGACACTTCCAAGACGCTCATCCGAAACGTGTGCCCTTCCTGTTTGACAAGGGTGGTGTGCAAACCAGGCAAGTACCGTAGGCCCGACGGGCTGTGCAACAATGAGGAGAACCCGACGTGGGGTGCTACCATGTCAACGTTCAACAGGTATACTGCCAGGTTACCACATTTCCGGTCTTATACCCGTTTTCACGGATCGCTGTCTTCGTTTTTCAGGCTGATGCCGCCACGATTTTCAGACAAGTTGTCCTCGCCCAAGTCGTCGGCTTCTGGTCAGCCTCTGCCCATGGCCAGGGTCGTTTCCCGAACCATTCACCCTGACGAGGGGCTACACGAGCACGCTGGCACCGTCATGTTGGTCGCCTGGGGACAGTTTATTGACCACGACTTGACTCTGACGGCTACTCCGTTGGGTAAGCATTTAGGTTATAACACTTTTGGTCTTACGCTGGTGATCTATATTATTTGCTTGTGGTCACGTAGACCCGGTGAACCGGAACGAACCCGAGGAATGTTGCGGCCGTCCGGATCACTTGAAGAACAAATACTGCTACGAGATCAAAATACCGGACGACGATAATTTTTACAGGAACCACAACGTCAGATGTCAGGATTTCGTGCGAGCGTTTCCAGGCGTCAAGCCCGACTGTAAATTGGGTAGGTGTACCTACTCGTACATTCCATGTGGATGACCCACCCCCGATTACTTGTTTTTACTTTATTTGATTTCCGTATCAATTTTGGATTGCAGGACCTAGGTCCCCGTTCAACCTACTCACCCCGGTGATCGACGGCAACACCATTTACGGAGTCGATGAAACGTTTTCCCGGTATCTTAGGTCTGGATACACGGGACAGCTGAGAATGAACCCGGCGTTCGCAAATTTGGGGTTGAAAGAACTGTTGCCCATGAAATTGAACATCCCGGACGAAGGTTGTATCAGGTCGAATTCTTCTCAGTACTGTTTTGAATCAGGTTTGTAACGTTTTTCGTTTCGAATACTTTTACATAAGACATAACATATTATTTGGGTTATTAGTCAAATTTGTAGTAATCGCAAAACCGTTTTAAATGTTTACCAAAACATATAGCATAGTATTAAGTACAAATCAGTGGTGTGTAAATGGGTGGAGGGAGGGGGAGCGCACTCCGAAAGGCATTTTTATAAAATTATGAACTCATGTTTTCGAACATAAATATTGTCAAAAATAAAATAACCAAGACGACACCTACCTATAAAAAGCTCGGTGGTCGAGAGTATTTTTATACCTTAACTATTTTAAATTACTTTTTAGTACACTAACTTGTAATTTTTTGAAATATGAGGCACACGTTTCCAAGGAAAATAAAATATTAAATTGTCTTTGGTTAATTTACTGTCAAATTGATTTCGTAGGTGAAATTAGAGTGAACGAACAGCTCGTTCTCGCGTGCATCCACACGCTGATGGCGAGAGAACACAATCGGGTGGCTAAAGAGCTGTCACAAATAAATCCGCACTGGAACGACGAAATGCTCTATCAGGTAAACGGTAGACACGTCGTGATGCGATGGATAGTTTCTAACATAACTGTGGTTTTAGGAAGCCAAAAGAATTGCAGTGGCTGAAATACAACACATAACGTACAACGAATTTCTGCCCATACTTTTAGGCAAAGACGTGATGGATAAACATAGCTTGACGAACAGAAAAAAAGTGATTATTATTCATCTTGAAATCTTAACAATATATTGTTATACTATTATAATAGTTTGTCGTATTGTTATATAATATTATCGTTGTCGATGGTTTACGGAATATTTCGAATTTTAGGGACATTGGAACGGATACGATTCAAACGCGAATCCCAATATATTGGCTGCGTTTTCGGCTGCGGCCTTTCGTTTCGGCCATTCACTGCTGCCGAATGTCATTGAACGCTGGAGTAAAGCTCACGGTTTTATCGGTATAAACCATGATAATATTTTTATTTTTTAAACTCATTACATCGTTTGACGCCATACGTTTTACACTATTTCAGCTTCCAAGAAATTATCTGACTTGATTCGTCGGCCGTTCGATTTGTACAGGGCCGGTGCCATAGACGAGTATCTGATGGGCCTCATGAACCAAGTCGCACAGGCCATGGACGATTCAATAACTCAAGAAGTGACCAACAATTTGATCAAAAAGCCGGGCAAAGGTTTTGGTTTCGACCTGGTGTCGTTCAACATACAGAGAGGCAGAGACTTTGGGTTGCCCGGTTACATGGAGTACAGACGTCACTGCGGGTTGACCGTGGCCAACAGATTCGAAGAAATGGCAGGATTCATGCCTAATTCGACCATACAACGTTATCAGACGATATACTCGTTAGTCAAAATTAAACATACAATAATTCCCTTTTATAGTAGGCGATCCACCAAATAATGGTTTGATGTTTGGAGTACACTATTTTTTATGGGTACCTACTAACGTATGGGATCAGTGGCGTCACGAACATTTTATTCTTTGGGGCAAATACTGAGGCTATCCACCCACCCACCCACACATAAAACTAAAACCTGCTGATGCATATATTTTTTTAATTATAAAATAAATATTGATATTATTTTACTATATCAATGAACATTAATGTAATAAGTTACCTATTATTGAACCTATGTTCTTTTAAAAAATTTTGCAAGTTAGCAGTTTAGTAAACTATTTTATTAAGTATATTAAAAAATAACAATAGTTAAAAAAAATATATATAATAATAAAACATTAATCATTCAAATATTATGACTTATGAGTATAATAAAGTTTTTTTCATAAATGTAGATGATATGGCTAGTTCATTGATGGCTTGATTTAAGTCTACATTTATATCAGTTTCACAGTTTAATAAGATGAGACTTTCTAGCCTTAATTGTGACATTGTGGATCTTAACCGAGACTTAATAATTTTAACTTTTGAAAATGTGCGTTCAGCTGCAGCAGATGTTACAGGAATGGTATATAATGCTTTATAAGCCAAGTATAAATTTGGAAAGGCTGAAGTAAGATTAAATTTTGATAACAGTTGTAATATAGATGCCGTATTTTCTTTATTGCTTTTACAAGTAGTATGTTCTTGTTCATCATCATTTTCATTAGTGGACCAATCATCGTCAGACTCTTGGGCATCATGTAACGTATCTCCAAGATTTAAACCAGCTGTTAATGAAGAATAAGCATTACAGAATGCTGAATATTCAGTTCGAAGAGATTCTATATTTAATTCTGGTATCCAACTTTGTAGAGCATCAAAACTATCATAAGGAAAATCCTGTATTGAACTAAATGGGATTATCTCGATTGCGCAATATATTTACCTTTTTTTACCTGAAAAAATAACAACGCAATTTGTGCACCAATCAAACAATTTTAAATTCACATTTTTTTTTTCTAAACACTTAATAATTTTTTTGTCACTCCTGCACCGAAAGTTTGGTTTTCGATAGTTGTTGAAGAGTTAGAAGCGATCTTTTTCCGTTCAGCGGGCGGTATAGTGGGAATCCCTAATAGTGGTGGGTGGTACAAGTGGAAATCCCGAAAAGTGCTGGGCGCACATATCACTCATGTATGCCCTGCACAACCAGACACTGAAATCTATACCTACCACGGTCATTACAAAACATAAGCTTTTGGTTACATTTTATTATATTCATTTTATAACCTCCATGCGTGACGCCTAAAATAAATAAAACCAAATAGTTTCTTTCGTGAAATATTGTTGTTGTAGAATTATAGTCTAGTATTGGTGCATAGATCCTGCATTACCTTTGCCTTGATCGATGAATGCAGAAGCGTGACAAAAAATAGTATTTGTGGCTCGTGCGGGAAGGCAATTTCCGCCCTCGCCACACAATATACTATTTTTAGGTTAAAAATTCTTATTTTCCCTTTTTTCTTTTATATTAGTTAACTACTGTAATGCGAGCTTAACTTTTATATGGTTGAGAAAACATTTGGTAGTTCGCATATTAAAGTACCTACAGCAATCGTAATGTGTGTGCGCGTATATTATTGTTTTAAATTTAAAATGAGATTTTAGGCACTGAGTGAAGCGAATGAATGTATTGATTTTACAATGATGTGAGTTTTTTCCTAATTGTCAGCAACATTTATGGTACCTAGAAAAAATGCTCCGATTTTCGAGATCGGCATCTTTTCTGATACAAAAATGAATCTAGTTGGTACTTTCGGGAGGTTAATATTGAAAATTCTAAGTAGTTTTAGGAAACGTCAGGAATAACAAAAAAAAGGGAATAAAAGTAATTGGTAATTTTTACGCAAAACCAATTTTTATTTTATTGGTGTAACTCAAAAATTAATAACCATAGACCCTTGAAATTTTCACTAAATAGTTATATTTGAATTTTCTATAAACGGTAATGTTTTCGAAATAATTTGACTTATTTTAAGCTAATGAGGTATAATTTTGAGAAATTTTTCAAATTTTGTAATATTTTTTAAATTATTCTCGATAAATACTTTTTCACTTAGTAAAAAAGCTTGAAAATAATGACTATAATGATAGGTTCCTTATAAGTTTCATCAATTACCTCTGATCATTACTACGGAACTGCAGAGCGGTACACACTTGTCCACCTTTTTTAATATTTTATTGTCATTATTTATTATAAGATCACCTTTCGACATCGACTTGTGGTCTGGTGGAGTGTCGGAAAAACCGGCGCAAGGCAGTGTGGTTGGACCGACGTTCGGTTGCATAATTGCATCTCAATTCAGTCTGTTGAAGAGGGGCGATCGGTTTTGGTACGAATTGCCCGACCAACCGTCTTCGTTCTCACCGGGTAAATATAGCTGACATATTATAGGAACCTACGTCCTATGTGCGACTATAGTGCTTTACAGTGACTATAACGTCTCTGCCGTTTATCATTATAGATCAGTTACAAGAGATCAGAAACGTCCGGTTGGCGCGTTTGGTTTGCGACAATACGGACATCATAGACACGGTTCAAATGTATCCGATGGTGTTGTCGGATCACGAACTGTACGTATAATAATAATATATCGATATAACGCCTCACATACGATAAATTTAGTGATTATCATAGACCTGTCTAATAAATTGTACTAAATTTCTAATAATTTACCATGTCTTAGGAATCCTAGGGTCCCGTGTAGGAGTGGCGTCATACCTAGGATGGATCTGAGCAAGTGGGCCGACTCGACACTGGATACGGCTGAACCCAACACCAGACTCGTTAGTATAATATATTATTATTTTTATATTGTAATACTATAATTTTTCTACATTATATACGTTGTGATTGGGTGGGAAAAGTTTAGACGTCATCGGCATTTAATAATTAATATGAAACGTCGACAGCTATATTATGAATTCAATTCATAATATAATATTATGTATAATAATAATATTATTAATACACGAAATTTATATTTTTGTAATTTGTTGTACCTTAATATTATTATTATTTTTATTTGGTACCTAATGGTCGTCATGAAGTTAGTCATCTCTTCCCCTTAGTAAAATAACCTGAGAATAGGAAGCGCAGATAACTGTACCTACAGTAGGTACTTTCTAGTTTTGGAAAATCACGTACAAAACAAAATATTTATTTCCCTGAATAAAGATTATAATTTTATTATTATTAAAAAGTTAAATTGTTATGTTTGGCGTGGCTAAAATTTGGAAATAATTTACCAAAATTACAATTATTTTGATTTGTAAATTTTAAAAACTTATTTGAAATTAATTAATACATAATTGGCATACTTTGGATTAATTTAACTAAGGGGAGGAGCTATTTTTAAGACATATTTATATTTATACATATAGGTACGTAGATTTATTTGAAATACGTATGGTTAAAAACTTATTATATTGCAATGAAACAGTTTGTGTCCATACAATAATATGTATGATTATTCAAATAAGATGTTCAGGGACATTGGTACCTGACGTAGGCGTTCTATATAATCTTAAAACGTTTTTTTTTAATTCAAAATTTATTTTTTTAATAATTTTTATTTTTATTTACTTATGTAAATTGCGTATTTTTAACTATTTCTATCTATATAATCTAAAAATGAGAACTTACGTCAAATAACAAATCATTATTTTTTAAAACAATTCTTAGCACCACTATTTTGTTAACTGTAACTATTTCTAGAGATTTACAGAATATTGATGTTCAAACATTATGCATAAGTATTCTTATACCGTATGGTTTGTCATATACCTACACTTGTAATTTTGTTTTTCCGATGTCTTGTAGTCTAACGTAGAGAAAAATCTCAAATCCGGTATGACGGAAGCAAAGATACAGTTCTGCGATGACTGCAACTCGACGACTGCGGACACCGGGATTGGATTGGCAGATCCGGGAACGAGGGTGATCACGATCATCGAAGCGACTGACGAGCTGGATGGCAACGCGGTGATGAACTCAAACGCCATTTTTGGCGGCAACGACAAGAGGATGAAACGGGGTGCTGAAGCCGCATCGCTGGCCGGAAACGGGACTGTGGACGCCGACGACGACCCGTCGTTGTCTAAAGAGATGGTGCTGGCCGGGCTGGACGTGCCCAAAGCGGCGCCAATCAAACGGGACGTGGCCGACGGGTTGCCGGACATGACGCAAGCCATCATGGAGCAGCGTGTCGACTACGATGTGGACGAGGAATTCCAGGCGGCCAACGGCCACGGATTCGAAGCCCCTAGAACCAGGCCGGTGAACAATTACCGCGGTTACAGTAGCCGCCGCCCCGAAGAACACTTGGAAGACGACGGCGATGACTTTGACGACGGTGACCATAATTCGCACTACGAGTACGTGCCCATGGAGTTCGACAACGAAGGCAACCACAGGTACGTGTGGCAAAAAAAACCATGTTTCACAGATGGTTAACCAGAGAGTTGATGAAAGTTCATCGAGTTTTTCAGTAAAGATTAAGATGATATTTTTTTTAAATAATCTTATAAAATCAATGAACAAAATCGCTTTAACAATCAAAATTTTTTTTTAATTTTATTTTTTGAAACATTCGTATTTCAATGAATTAACGATGGAACGATGGTGCAAAAAAACTTGAGGAAATCGTTATTTTGGAAGTTATATCCTTCTAAAGTTTGCGATTTTACGTTTGTACGGATACGCACAACATTACTGCTATTGACTGCCACTCAAAATTTTAATTTTTTTTATGTATTTTAACGAGTTAGGAATGATGGCGAAATCACAATTTGCAAAATCAGTTAGTCATATTTCTTCAACACATTTAATAAGAATATTAAATAAAAAAAAATACTGGCCTAATCAAAATATTATTTATTTGCACATTGTAATCAGTACTATTGTCATCATTATAAGTTAAAACTATCTGAATTTTTCATAACTGTGTAATACTCGTTTTCAATTTTTGTAGCTGGTGAGTCCAGCCAGTTAAAAAAAATCATTTAAATTCAAAAAACTCCACTGGAATGAGAAAACATTTTCCGGATTCTCGTTCTAGACCTCCAAATATCCACTGCCGCTCGACCCGATGATCACGAGGATACTTCCGTTTAGCAAATTTCGACAATCACTTCGGTGAGTGTGGGGGGAGAGCATACCGGCCCTTTGGGCAGATTTATAACTTATCTATACCGGTAGACCTAACGAGTTAAATAAAAAAAGTATTCATCCCTAATGATAGCCGGCTTCGGTCACAGCTGTAGTTGTTGACCTGGGCTGTTGATCGTGGTATCCTTATAAATTATCAGCACATGCCATACACCAAATTGACGTAATTTGGTATTGACGTATTGTGATTAATAATATAAATAAAATGATTATAACTTCAAAACAAAAATTAAGCGTTGAATTTGGATTTCACCATCATAATTAACTCGTAATTACGTATGAAAAAAATATCAAAATTATTTATAGGCACTGCGCGCATGGCAGTTAATTACAATGTAGTGCGCATGCGTATAAATTATAAATGTAAAAGCACAAACTTTGGAAGAATTTAACTTTCAAAATAATGATTCCCGCAAAACTTATTTTGCACAGTCGTTCTGCACTTATTGAAATACGCACATATATGTTTCAAAATAAAAAAATTCTGGGTTACTAAAGTGAATTTATGTTCAACTAATTTTTTCCCTATCAATTTGAGTTCTGCTGTACTTTAGATATGTGTATGTCATGTTTAATTTCATATATTGTATTAGTACAATATACATACGCGTTTATACTAAAATATGTAACTTTGTCGTTACACGAAATTATGATTTTTTTTTTCGTTTACCACAGACCACTAACTTTGCCAAACTACTTGGACTCTAAGAAGCCCGTCAAGTACAACAAGTACGGTGCGTCCAAAGCACCGTCATATCCACGGCCGCCCGCTTTCAACAGTTACGGGAGCGGTAGCGGGAGCGGTGCTTCACAGCTGCTGCACGGCCATGACTTCGTTCCGCTACGTGGCGGAAGTAGTGGAGGAGGCTTTGGAGGTGTAGGTGGAAGTAGTTCAGCAGCGGGATATTCGTATGGTGTGGGCGGTGGTCTGCAGTCTGACGGCGAATTTGATGACTATCGAGACGTACCGTCACCGTACTCCGGTCGCCCATCGGGTGGCAGAGGTGGACCCAAGTCGTTCGTGTCGATGACTCGAAGCAACTCGGACGAGGCTGATGCGGGAGACGTAATCAATATCGATCACGGGCGAGGTGCGTACGACGATGGTCCGTCACGTGATTACCGTGGTTACTCGTCCGCGGACCACGATTACGAGGAGGATACGTACCGCGGTCACGGGCCCTCGAAGTCGGTACCAAAGTCGCCATACTTCTATCGCTCCACCGATTACGCTCACGAACCATCATCGACTTCAGTCCAGTCCAGGATACACGACGTCGACGCCGAAGGCAAGCCGCCGAAGTCGAAAGCCTACTGGAGCATGTCGTACGTGCAGGACGTTTAGGAACCACACCACGCCGACCATCACATGCATCTTCGATCTTCGACCACCGCCAACCAGCTGCACCAGTACTACCACTACCATCTCTACCAGTCTACCATAACCATTAGCCGAGGCTTAACCCACAAATATTTATCGACTCTACGAATATTTGTTTTTGACCAACTCTAGTTCCTACTGGAAGTTATAATTATTAAAACGCTGAAGTCAAAACAAAATGTAATGTCCTGACATATCATCGAACGAACATTTTTCAATTATTATTAGAGGATTAGGCAAATATTTTTTATGGGTTAAGTCGTTCGTTTACAACTATGAACCATGTGCCTCGTATATTATTTTTGTACCTCAATAACCAACACGTTTTTTATTTTACTCGGAACGGATGATTTATTTCTCGTATTACATTATGTTTCAATAAGCGAAAACTGCGTACACGTCACAAAATATGAATCATAATATTTTATTATCAACATACACAAGTGTCGATTGTGTGACTACTAAACTCCGAATAGCGGCGTACATCATCACTCGAGCTTGTTGAGAAAAGGTGCAATGGAATCGATATTCTCACAATCCGGTATCATCTTGCCCTTGAACTTGACGCAGCCGTCCGCGCACAGAGGTCCTTCGAAGTAGTCACCCAACATCTTCTTGCACTGGGCACAGTTCCTGATGCACATGGCCACATCCGCCATATCCGCCGCCGTGTAACCTACGATTCCGATCAACACCAACGCGACGGCGGCGGCCAGGAAGGCGATTTTCTTTGACGAAGTGTTCATCGTTTGAGTTGTTTTCCTCTGAAAAGAAAAAATAACAATCTTTATACACCGCCGTCGACGCCCAATAAATCTCGCTCTGGGAAATACCTCAGTCCGACTCACCTTTGAGATATCGTAAAAGCTATTCTTGCTTAGATCCTCGTGAGTCTCCAGGACGTAAGACACTGACGAAATTGGCACCGGCACCGGTCATTTTATACTCACGATTCATTTTAATTCAATCGAGTTTTTCATTTTGGAAATGCCCGCCACGCACTGGCTTTTAGTTAATTCGATATAATATATTATGTTTGTCTGAGGGGTGTCGATAATATAATACTATATCGACGAAATAGGGCCGATTTGATTATTCTGGTGCGTTGGACTCGTCCATTATCGAAAATTTTGTTCGCAGCGGTTTTATTAAATAGCTATACAGAAGTGTAGGAATAAATTAAAATTATTATAGTATTATAACATACAAAATATATAGATGATAATATGCATTGTGATAATGTATCGCAACGTAATTTTTTACCAAGATTTACTCTCGAATACAAATATTACTTTTTAATTGGTCGCGAATCTTAGAATAGTCGACAAACAATATTTATTATTTTCATTATTATTATTATTATTATTATTATTATTATTATTAATTATTATTATTAAAAATATGTAACCTATCTATTTTTATATTTTTATATTGTCAATGGCTGACATTTTTTATTATTCTTTAATATATCATGTATATTTTATTTTTTATTTGTCAATAAAAATGTGATATGTGTTGATGTTGATATTGAAACAGATTACAGATAGTTTAAATTTTAAAGCATCGATGTCGATGTAATTCTTACGAAAATATAATGTGTTGGCACCCGCAAGCAATTGCATTTTAGAAAACCAAAAAAAAATTTAGAAAAAATTATACAATCAGAACACTTGTCAATGAGTTCAAACTACAATCTTCAGATTCATAAACTAGTAAACTGAAAAACTTCATTGTAACAGATTTGTTCTGGGATTTTTCAACATAAACCCAATAATGACATTATCTCACTCCTGTTTTGTGGCACACAGCTATCAGACCATGTAACCAATGGCGCACACATAGGGTGTTTATTTAGGGGGTGCTGGGCTACTTCTGGTTCCCCGATCCTTGTGGCGGTCTTTGCCCCCACACCCCCCTCCTCCTACAATTCTGTCATGCATTACATTTCAAATCTGTACAGTGTATACAATATTTCTAAAGTGGCAATTTATCAAATCGTCTGTATGATTGTTACGAGACGCTAAGTCCACCACCTGTGTGTCTTCGTATCCGACGACTAGGTACAACATAGGCAAACTGTTTTGCACGGGTATAAAAAACATTCAGGCTCTACCTCAAGCTAAAAACTAAATGTTCACACTAGAAAAATGAGAAAATTTACTCTGTAACTTGGTTTTTATATTTCCGATATCAAAACCAAAATAAAAGTTATTTAAGTTTGATAAACAAAAAAAAGGTGCTTTGCTGTACAGTAAGGTACAAGTGGGTCACTGTATAATCGATGGTATTAAATTTGAATTCAATGATAAACTACATCATGTATATGAAAAAACGATTCTGAGCGAAGACGATTAAGTCAGCCTATGATATTACAAAGTATATTTAATGATACTAAGGTGAATAAAGCAATTTATATATAACCTATTTAAGTAGAATCTTGTTTTAAATTTTCAATCATTAGCTATAAAGTTCAACATTTTATAAATTTTTAACTATAAAATTATTATGAAATTTTAAATGTGATAAATTTTGTCAAAATTTGAATTTTAAATAATTATAAAAAAAATTGTGCCTATGTATTTTTAATATTTTTCAAGTGTTAATGTAACAATATATCAGGAGCTTTGCATTCAATTTTCAAGCTTTTTTACCATACAAATACAATTTTATTGATATGAATAGAAAAAAAAATTAAAAAATTGAAAACTGAAAAAGTCCGTAAATAGCTCAAAAAGAATCAAAATATTTTCAAAACTGTATGGTGTATAGGAAATGCTAATATAAAAATGTAGTAAAATTATCAAGTATCTACAGTCATTCGTTTTTTAATTACAACAAAATTAGAAAATCGTTACATGAGAAATCGAGTGAATATCAAATGTTGTAAAAATATGAATTTCAAACGTTGATAAAAATTTAATTTGAGATTCTTGTAGACATTTTTTTTTGATAAAGGTAGACAAACTTATGAGGAATCTTGCATTACATTTTCATATCTTAGATTTAAAAAGAAAAATTTTTATGAATTTCTAACTCGAAATAATTTGCAAATTTTGGTCATTTTGTAGTATTTTGTTAATATTTGGAATTTAAATGCTTATAACAAAAAACTGTGAGTAAGGATTTTTAATATTTTTCATCTGTCTTTGAAACAATATATTAGGAGCCTTCTATTAAATGTTTAAGCTTTTATACCCAACAATAAGAATTTTATTGATACTTATAGAAAAAAAAACTAAAAAAATGGAAACTAAAAATGTCCGTAAAAAGCTCAAAATAACTCAAAATATTTAGAAAATTTTATCATGTAATAGAAAATGGAATTAAATAACCATGAACATTTCATATATCTACGGTCATTTCTTTTAAAGTTACACCAAAAACCAAAATCAATTTTCTCGAAAACAGATTTTGCGTAAAAATTCCCGGTTTTCCCTAATTTTTCTTTTGTTTAACACGGCGCGTTTGAAACTACTATGAAATTTTTGCTTTTGACCCCCCCAAAGTACCAACTAGATTCACTTTTCTATCAGAAAAGATATTGTTGAAGAAAATCCAAGCACTTTTACTGTCCTAAAAGATGATGACAGACAAAAAAAAAAAAAATGAATTCGTGAATTCGTAAACAGTTGTCAATATTTGTAATGAAAAGAAAAATTCCGAACCAATAAATCACGATAGTTTATAAATGTTTGGTGAAATACTGAAATAAACTGAGGGTGCTAGTTTGAAGCTTGGGGGTGCTAAGCACCCCCAAGCACCCCCCTATGTGCGCCTATGCATGTAACAATGTTTAGTATACCCAAATTATTATCAACAATATGTTGTAATATGTTAATAAACATACTTGCAAGGTCATTTCCCGATCTACCAATAATTGTTACATCAAGAAGACAAATGTGCTGTAAGGGTTTAAACATTTAATTTTTTTTTATAAAACGCTGGGCCGACATTTGTTTTTGGAAGTGTGATAAAATTTTGTAATACAAAACAAACAACTACATTTTCTTGATCACATTTATTTTTGTCTTCATCTCTTTCCATTCTGGTAGTATCTTTTTTAAGCATGTGTTCTTCATTCTGACATTGTTCATTACTTGATACTTTAAATTCCTCACATGTAGCACATAAATCATTTTTAGGAGGGAAAAATTCATATCTAATTGTATTTAAAGGATCTACTGAACTTTTACGATCCTTCATTTTCACCTACTCGTGTTACAATTTTTAACCATCATGAAAACCAGAAGAATATTGTTGTCAGTCCCACTACATATTTGTTAAAGTATGTACTTTAGATAAATATTTTGTAATTGTTTTTATTTATTATTTTAATTACAATTTAGATATAATAATGATAATATATTTAGTAATACTATTTATTTTTTAGTTCAGTCGAGAACACTTATTATGATATTGTGGCTATTGACTTAAATGCATTAAGCAATATTTCTCCATCAGCAGCTATTTACACTAACCATGATAGTAATTATTATCAAACTAAAAACACAGAAACTAGTCACGGTGAACAAAATAGACCTGTTCGTAAAAATTTGTACTAATTAATTATTATTTAGTAATTCTATGATAATAAATTCTTAAAATTTATTTCTAATACGGTTTTTTTTTTTTGTTAAGATATTTAGTTTTACAACGTGAATAGGAAAATTCGAAATAGTTGCCATGGAACAAGACAGTGGCTACCGGGGTCTTATAACTATATTCAGGTAATTATTTTGGTTTGAGGGGGGGAATTAAATACATTATGGTAACCAATATATATCACTAAAAATAAATACTTAAGTAAATTATAATTGTATTACTAAATATTCTATTGATATTTGATAAAGATTCTTAACCCAATAATTTCTGGCATAAAATATTTAACCGAGTATATCTTTACTTTTAAATACCTTAAAATTGTTATTGTGACCTATATTTTTGTCCGACAATTAGATTTCTTC